CCTGAAGCTGTTTATGAAAAGTGCTCGTAGATGAGGGTTTCGAGGTGAAAATTTGTAGAGTACAGCAGAGATTTATGATTTTCTCCGATTTATCAGAACTGAGAAATACATTTATTGCTATAAATCCATTTGTTAAAAAGTTACCGGAAGATCTGCAACCCACCTACGTCGAAGATTATATGAAAGAATTGTACAATTTTAACTATTTCCATCGTTTGGACAATGGTGAAATAGTATTAAAGCTACCTCATAGAATATGCACAGTTCTGGCTTCTAAACCTTAATATGTATACCATTTTATTTTATCTTTTAATAATGTTGCAGTTTTTTTTCAATAATATGTTGTAAGTAATCCTATGTATTATTTTATAATGACATTGATGTTCGTATGCAATTAAATATTTTTTTTATTACAAAGACTTGTTTTCTTTTTGCTCCCTGGAAACAATAAATTGAAAATTATTGTTTTCCAGGAATTGCGAAATAAAAACCAATAATTAACTAAGTAAATTAAAATTCTTAACAATTTTAGTTGACGAACCTTTATAACTTATTTGTAAATTTTCATTCATTTATTTAAAACATGATTATTATTTTATTATTAAAAACACAATTGCTTCCATAGAATCACTTTTTTAAGAAAAAAAAATGTATTTTCCAAGACTTGGGAATTATATGAATTTAAGTTATATGTTTTTGAAGAAAGTAATAACTATTGAAAAGCAAACATAAGTCTTTCTACCCTAAGGTAGAAAATAGTTAACTAGCGACAGACAGACCTATGTTCTCTTTGCAGCAGATCAATTTAAATTTTATTATTATGCTATTTTGTTGAGTTTGTAGTATGCGCATTTTTTGCAATAAATTTTATTATTATTAGCTAACTCGATTGCAATAATTTTAATTTCGAAATAAGGTCATTTGCGATAAGATTGAAATATCAATCAAAGTTAACCGATATTTGGTTCTAATAACAAATCTATGTTTAACGACCGAAGTCCGTTCTTCAAATGATTTTATTTTTTTTTAAATTACAATACTAGTATTTTTCAAAAATATCTTATATCACGTACAAAGTCCAATTGCCCTTTGGCCATAAAAATACGATAAAATTTCATTATAAATATAAGTTGCCATTGCATTTTAACATCAGTTGTTTTATATAAGAAACCACGATGGACAACGCCGAGTTATATTCCAAATATCATAGAATACAAACTGAAGAAGCAACTTTTATATTAGAAAATTTTATAAAATCAATTAAATGGAAAAGTGGTGACTCTATATTGGACGTAGGAACTGGTACGGGTGAAGTGACCATGCGAGTGTTAGCTCCGCTACTTCCACACGACTTTGAAAAACTTGTTGGATTGGATATTTCACCGGAGATGATAAATCTGGCAAAGGAACAAAACAAAAATCCGAAAATAGATTTTATTGTATGCGATATAGCATTCGAAAATATTACGAACACGGTACAAGAAAAATTTGATCACATATTCTCGTTCTTCTGCTTGAACTGGGTTCAAAATCAAAAACAAACTGTGAAGAATATGTACAATCTGCTGAAGCCAGGTGGTGATATGCTACTGGATATAATTACAAAATCAACGATTTTTGATATTTATGAATCGATGGTAACCTACCCGAAATGGAGCACATATTTGACGAACACTGAGGAATATATATCGCCATATAATCATTGCACTGATCCCAAAGCTGTGATTGAAAACATGCTTTTAGATGAAGGTTTCGAGGTGAAACATTGTCAAGTACAGCAGAGATTTATGATTTTCTCTGATTTATCAGAAATAAAATATACATTTCTTGCGATAAATCCATTTGTTAATAAATTACCTTCAGATCTACAATCCACTTACGTCAATGACTTTATGAAAGAAGTGTACAATTTTAACTATTTCCATCGGTTGGAAAGTGGTGAAATAATATTAAAGATACCTCATACAATATGCACAGTTCTAGCTTCTAAACCGTAATATGTACAACAAATTACGTTAACTTTTAATAATGTATTATTTTATAATGACATTGATGTTCGCAATTAAATCATTTCTATTTTACAAAGTCTTGTTTTCTCTTTGTTCCTTGGACTCAAGAAATTTAAAATTATTGTTTTCCGAGAATTCTGAAATAAAAGTCAGTAATTAGCTAAGTAAACTAACATTTTTAACACTTTAAATTGATGATCCTTTTTAACTTATTTGCAAATTTTCATTAATTTATTTAAAATATCATTGTATAAATAAAAAAAATATAAAAAACACAATTCTTTCCGTAGAACCAATTTATTAAAAAAAAATAGAGAAAACCGTATTATTCGCAAGACTTGCGGAAATGAATATAAGTTATATGTTTTGGAAAAAGTAATAATTATTGAAAAGAAAGCAAAATTGCAACAATAAAAAGAGCTATACACCATTCGTTTTTTTGGAATAAGATATAAAATTGCTACATGGATTGGAATAATTCGAATTTCCATGTAAGGTCATTTGCGATAAGATTGAAGTACCTATCAAAATTAATTCTTATATGGTTGCAATTACAAATATTTGTTTATTGACCAAAGTCCGTTCTTTAAATAATTTTAATTGTTTTTTAGTATCTTTTGAAAAATATGTTGTGTCGCGTAAAAAGACCGATAGCCATTTGGCCCAAAACAATACGATAAGACTTCATTATAAGTATAAATTGGCATTGTATTTTAACATCAGTTATTTAATGTCAGAAACCACGATGGATGACGCCGAGTTATATAACAAATATCATAGAATACAAGCTGAAGAAGCTACTTTTGTATTAGAAAATGATATAAAATCAATTAAATGGAAAAGTGGTGACTCTATATTGGACGTAGGAACTGCTACGGGTGAAGTGACCGCGCAAGTGTTAGCTCCACTACTTCCACACGACTTTGAGAAACTTGTAGGATTGGATATTTCACCGGAGATGATAAATCTGGCAAAGGAACAAAACAAAAATCCGAAAATAGATTTTATTGTATGCGATATAGCATCTGAAAATATTACGAAAACGATAGATGAAAAATTCGATCACATATTCTCGTTCTTTTGTTTGAACTGGGTTCAAAATCAAAAACAAACTGTGAAGAATATGTACAATCTGCTGAAGCCAGGCGGTGATATGCTATTGGCTATATCTACAAAATCAACGATTTTTGATATTTATGAATCGATGGCCAGCTACCCGAAATGGAGCAAATTTTTGACGAACACCGAGGAATATATATCGCCATATAACCATTGCACTGATCCTGAAACTGTTTATAAAAACATGCTTTTAGATGAAGGTTTCGAGGTAAAACATTGTCGAGTACTGCAGAGATTTATGATATTCTCCGATTTATCAGAACTGAGAAATACACTTCTAGCGGTAAATCCATTTGTTAATAAATTACCGGAAGATTTGCAATCCACCTACGTCGAAGATTATATGAAAGAATTGTACAATTTTAACTATTTCCAACGTTTGGAAAGTGGTGAAATAGTATTAAAGATACCTCATAGAATATGCACAGTTCTGGCTTTTAAACCATAATATGTACACCATTTTATCTTGCATTTTAATAATATTGCAGTTTATTTTTCAATAATATGTTGTTAATAATCTTATGTATTATTTTGTAATGACATTAATGTTCTTATGCAATTAAATCATTTCTATATTACAGTCTTGTTTTCTTTTTGTTCCCGGGAGACAAGAAATTAAAAAAAAAAAAATTTCGAGAATTCTGAAATAAAATTCAGTAATTTGCTAAGTAAACTAAATTTTTTAACAATTTAAATTGATGCTCCTTTATAACTTATTTGCACTTTTTAATTAATTTATTTAAAATATCATTACTATTGTATAAATAAAAAACACAATTATTTCTTGGTTCTACAAATAAAGAAAAATAGAAAAAACCGTATTATTCGCAAGACTTGAGGATTATATGAATTTAAGTTATATGTTTTGGGAAAAAGTAATAATTATTAAAAAGAAAGAAATTATTGCAACAACAAAAAGTTACATGGATTGGAATAATATGAATTTAAATAAAAGGTAGTTTGCGATAAGATTGAAATTCCTATCAAAATTAATCGTTATATGGTTGCAATTACAAATGTTTGTTTATTGACTGATGTCTGTTCTTTAAATGATTTTAATTGTTTTTAATTACTTTACTAGTATCTTTTGGAAAATATGTTGTGTTGCGTAGAAGGCCCGATAGCCATTTGGCCCAATAAATACGATAAGACTTCATTATAAGTATACATTGAAATTGTATTTTAACATCAGTTATTTAATATCAGAAAGCACGATGGACAACGCCGAGTTATATTCCAAATATCATAGAATACAAACTGAAGAAGCTACTTTTGTATTAGAAAATTATATAAAATCAATTAAATGGAAAAGTGGTGACTCTATATTGGACGTAGGAACTGCTACGGGTGAAGTGACCGCGCAAGTGTTAGCTCCTCTACTTCCACATGACTTTGAGAAACTTGTAGGATTGGATATTTCACCGGAGATGATAAATCTGGCAAAGCAACAAAACAAAAATCCGAAAATAGATTTTATTGTATGCGATATAGCATCCGAAAATATTACGAAAACGATAGATGCAAAATTCGATCACATATTCTCTTTCTGCTGCTTGAACTGGGTTCAAAATCAAAAACAAACTGTGAAGAATATGTACAATCTGCTGAAGCCAGGCGGTGATATGTTATTGGCTATAGTTACAAAATCAACGATTTTTGAAATTTATGAATTGATGGCCAGCTACCCGAAATGGAGCAAATTTTTGATGAACTCAGAGGAATATATATCGCCGTATCATCATTGCACTGATCCCGAAGCTGTTTATGAAAAGTTGCTCGTAGATGAGGGTTTCGAGGTGAACATTTGTCGAGAACAGCAGAGATTTATGATTTTCTCCGATTTATCAGAACTGAGAAATACATTTCTTGCGATAAATCCATTTGTTAATAAATTACCGGAAGATCTGCAATCCACTTACGTCGAAGATTATATGAAAGAAGTGTACAATTTTAACTATTTCCATCGTTTGGAATGTGGTGAAATAGTATTAAAGATACCTCATAGAATATGCACAGTTTTAGCTTCTAAACCCTAATATGTATAACAAATTATGTTACCTTTTAATAATGTTGCAGTTTGTTTTCAATTATATGTTTTAAGTAATGTTATGAATTATTTTATAATGCCATTGATGTTCGTATGCAATTAAATCATTTCTATATAACAATGTCTCGTTTTCTTTTTGTTCCCGGGAAACAAGAAATTTAAAATTATTATTTAAGTAAATTAAAATTCTTAACAATTTAAGTTGATGATCCTTTATAACTTATTTGAAAATCTTCATTAATTTATCTAAAATATCATTGTTATTATATTCTTAAAAAAATAATATAATTACTTTCGTAGAACCACTTTATTAAAAGAAATAGACAATAGTCTATTTTTCCCAAGACTTGGGGATTATATGTTTTTGAAAAAGTACTAATTATTGAAAAGAAAAAAAATATTCCTACAATAAAAAGTCAACTGAAGCAAAGCTACTATTAACCATTCGTCTTTCTGTCCGAAGGGGCAGAGAGACCTATGGTCGGTAGCCTATTTGCAGCAGATCAATTTATTTTTGTTTGCTCAGTATATTATTTTGTTGAGTTTGTAGTAAAGTGATTTGTTGCTATAAATGTTATTATTAGTTAATTAGATTGCAATAAATTCAATTTGGAAATAAGATTATTTTCTATAAGATTGAAAATCAATCAAATACAGTCTTTGTTTATCGACCAAAGTCCGTTCTTCAAATAATTTTAATATTTTTAATTACATTACTAATATTTTTTGAAAAATATGTTATGTCGCGTAGAAAGATCGATTGCCCTTTGGCCTTAAAAATAGGATAAAATTTTATTTTGCAATATGTGACATAGTATCTGAAAACATTACGAATACGGTACAAGAAAAATTTAATCACATATTCTCGTTCTTCAGCTTGACATGGGTTCAAAATCAAAAACGAACTGTGAAGAATATGTACAATCTGCTGAAGCCAGGCGGTGACATTCTATAATAGTTCACTAGATTGTAATATTTGTGATAAGATTGAAATACCTATCAAAATTAATCGTTATATGGTTGCAATCACAAATGTTTGTTTATTCACCGAATTCCGTTATTTAAATAATTTTAATTATTTTTAATTACTTTACTAGTATCTTTTGAAAAATATGTTATGTCGCGTAGAAAGCCCGATAGCCATTTGGCCCAACAAAAAAAATACGATAAGACTTCATTATAAGTATAAATTGACATTGTATTTTTGCATCAGTTATTTAATATCAGAAAGCACGATGGACAACGCCGAGTTATATTCCAAAAATCATAGAGTACAAATCGACGAAGCTACTTTTGTATTAGAAAATTATATACAAGGAATTAAATGGAAAAGTGGTGACTCTATTTTGGACATAGGATCTGGTTCTGGTGAAGTGACCATGGAAGTGTTAGCTCCACTACTTCCAAACGACTTTGAAAAACTTGTTGGATTGGATATTTCACCGGAGATGGTAAATCATGCAAAGAAACAAAACAAAAACCCTAAAATAGATTTTATTGTATGCGATATAGGATCCGAAAATATTACGAAAACGATAGATGAAAAATTCGATCACATATTCTCGTTCTTCTGCTTGAACTGGGTTCAAAATCAAATACAAACTGTGAAGAATATGTACAATCTGCTGAAGCCAGGCGGTGATATGCTATTGAATATAGCAACAAAGTCAACGATTTTTGATATTTATGAATCGATGGCCAGCTACCCGAAATGGAGCAAATTTTTGACGAACTCAGAGGAATATATATCGCCGTATCATCATTGCACTGATCCCGAAGCTATTTATGAAAAGTTGCTCGTAGATGAGGGTTTCGAGGTGAAAATTTGTCGAGTACAGCAGAGATTTATGATTTTCTCCGATTTATCAGAACTGAAAAATAGATTACTTGCGATTAATCCATTTGTAAATAAATTACCAGAAGATCTGCAATCATCCTACGTCGAAGACTATATGAAAGAAGTGTACAATTTTAATTATTTCCATCGTTTGCAAAGTCGTGAAATAGCAATAAAAGTACCTTTTAAAGTATGCACAGTTCTGGCTACCAAGCCCTAATATGTACAATAAATTATGTTACCTTTTAATAATGTTGCAGTTTTTTTTTCAATTATATGTTGCAATTAATCTTATGTATTATTTTATAATGACATTGATGTTTGTATTCAATTAAATCATTTTTATATTCCAAAGACTGATTTCTTTTTGTTCCCGTCAAACAAGAATTTATTTAAAATAGCATTATTATTGTATAATTTAAAAAAATAAAATACATAATTATATCCGTAGAACCAATTTATTAAAGAAAAATAGACAAAACATTATAATTCGCAAGACTAGCGGATTATATGAATTTAAGTTATATGTTTTGGAAAAAAAGTAATAATTATTAAAAAGAAAAAAATATTGCAACAATAAAAAGTTAACTGCTGCAAAGAGCTGTAGACCAATTGTCTTTCTGCCATAAGGAAGATAATAGTTAACTAGATTGCAATAACAATAAGGTCAATTAAAAAAATTGAAATATCTATCAAAATTAATTCTTACATGTTGCAAAAATAAATGTTTTATTTATTAACCGAAGTACGTTATTCACATTATTTTAATTGTGTATAAATTATATTGCATTAAGCCTGATAGCCTTTTGGCCCAAAAAATAAGATAAGATTTCAATATTAGTATAAATTGTCATTGTATTTTGAAATCAGTTATTTAATATCAGAAACCACGATGGACAACGCCGAGTTATATTCCAAACATCATAGAGAACAAACCGACGGAGCTACTTTTGTATTAGAAAATTATATAAATGCAATTAAATGGAAAAGTGTTGACTTAATTTTGGACGTTGGATCTGGTTCAGGTGAAGTGGCCATGGAAGTGTTAGCTCCACTACTTCCACATGACTTTGGAAAACTTGTTGCATTGGATATTTCACCAGAGATGGTAAATCATGCAAAGAAACAAAACAAAAATAGATTTTATTGTATGCGATATAGCATTCGAAAATATTACGAACACGGTACAAAAAAAATTTGATCACATATTCTCGTTCTTTTGCTTGAACTGGGTTCAAAATCAAAAACAAATTGTGAAGAATATGTACAATCTTCTGAAGCCAGGTGGTGATATGATATTGGCTATTGTTACAAATGATATTTATGAATGGATGGTAACCTACCCGAAATGGAGCAAATTTTTTATTAACTCAGAGGAATATATATCGCCGTATCATCATTGCACTGATCCCGAAGCTGTTTATGAAAAGATGCTCGTATATGAGGGTTTCGAGGTGAAAATTTGTAGAGAACAGCAGAGATTTATGATTTTCTCCGATTTATCAGAACTGAGAAATACATTTATTGCTATAAATTCATTTGTTAATAAGTTACTGGAAGATCTGCAACCCACCTACGTCGAAGATTATATGAAAGAATTGTACAATTTTAACTATTTCCATCGATTGGATAGTGGTGAAATAGTATTAAAGATACCTTTTAGAATATGCACAGTTCTGGCTTCTAAACCTTAAGATGTATATAATTTTTATTATCTTTTAATAATGTTGCAGTTTTTTTTTTCAATAATATGTTGTAAGTAATCCTATGTATTATTTTATAATGACATTGATGTTCGTATGCAATTAAATATTTTTTTTTATTACAAAGACTTGTTTTCTTTTTGCTCCCTGGAAACAAGAAATTTAAAATTATTATTTTCCAGGAATTGCGAAATAAAAACCAATAATTAACTAAGTAAATTAAAATTCTTAACAATTTTAGTTGACGAAAGACTTTGGGATTATATGAATTTTTAGCTATATTTTTTATTGAAGAAAGTAATAACCATTGAAAAGCAAACATTAGTCTTTCTACCCTAAGGAAGAAAAGAGTTAACTAGCGACAGACAGACCTATGGTCTCTTTGCAGCATATCAATTTATTTTTTCTTATTATGTTATTTTGTTGAGTTTGTAGTATGCGGATTTGTTGCAATAAATTTTATTATAATTAGTTAACTGGTTTGCAATAATTTTAATTTGCAAATAAGGTCATTTGCGATAACATTGAAATATCCAAAATTAACCGATATTTGGTTTAACGACCAAAGTCCGTTCTTCAAATGATTTTTTTTTAATTACATTACTAGTATTTTCCAAAAATATGTTATATCACGAAGAAAGCCCGATTACCCTTTGGCCTTAAAAATACGATAAAATTTCATTATAAATATAAGTTGCCTTTGCATTTTAACATCAGTTATTTTATATAAGAAACCACGATGGACAACGCCGAGTTATATTCCAAAAATCATAGAGTACAATTCGACGAAGCTACTTTTGTATTAGAAAATTATATAAATGCAATTAAATGGAAAAATGGTGACTCAATTTTGGACGTTGGATCTGGTTCAGGTGAAGTGACAATGGAAGTGTTAGCTCCACTACTTCCACATGACTTTGGAAAACTTGTTGGATTGGATATTTCACCGGAGATGGTAAATCATGCAAAGAAACAAAACAAAAACCCGAAAATAGATTTTATTGAATGCGATATAGCATTCGAAAATATTACGAACACGGTACAAGAAAAATTTGATCACATATTCTCGTTCTTTTGCTTGAACTGGGTTCAAAATCAAAAACAAACTGTGAAGAATATGTACAATCTGCTGAAGCCAGGTGGTGATATGCTATTGGCTATTGTTACAAAATCAACGAATTATGATATTTATGAATCGATGGTAACCTACACAAAATGGAGCAAGTTTTTGATGAACTCAGAGGAATATATATCGCCGTATCATCATTGCACTGATCCTGAAGCTGTTTATGAAAAGATGCTCGTAGATGAGGGTTTCGAGGTGAAAATTTGTAGAGAACAGCAGAGATTTATGATTTTCTCTGATTTATCAGAACTGAGAAATTCATTTATTGCTATAAATCCATTTGTTAAAAAGTTACCGGAAGATCTGCAACCCACCTACGTCGAAGATTATATGAAAGAATTGTACAATTTTAACTATTTCCATCGATTGGATAGTGGTGAAATAGTATTAAAGATACCTCTTAGAATATGCACAGTTCTGGCTTCTAAACCTTAAGATGTATATATTTTTTTTTATCTTTTAATAATGTTGCAGTTTTTTCAATAATATGTTGTAAGTAATCCTATGTATTATTTTATAATGACATTGATGTTCGTATGCAATTAAATATTTTTTTATATTACAAAGACTTGTTTTCTTTTTGCTCCCTGGAAACAAGAAATATAAAATTATTATTTTCCAGGAATTGCGAAATAAAAACCAATAATTAACTAAGTAAATTAAAATTCTTAACAATTTTAGTTGACGATCCTTTATAACTTATTTGTAAATTTTCATTCATTTATTTAAAACATGATTATTATTTTATTATTAAAAACAAAATAATAAAAAACACAATTGTTTCCGTAGAATCACTTTGATTAATAATCATAAATGTTTTTGTAGCAAAGTTTAGTATTTTCAGATTTTTTTTCGTCGATTTTACGTCTTAAAATTTGAAAATAATAATAATTGCAACAAAACCAAAAATCATAATTTAACATTTCCATACAATAGAAATGAAACAAAAAGTCAACTGCTACAAAAGGGCTATTGCCTATAGCTCTTTCTATCCTCAAAATTTTATTACTGAATAATTTGTTTCTATTAAAAATATCCATTATAAATGATAAATGATTTTTTTCATTTAAAAAACACAAAAAGAGTCATATTAAATTATAACAAATTAAGAGTTTTTATTAATTGAAAAATGAATATTTGTTTGTAAGACATCTGTTTGTTGTGTAGATGTTATTTGTTTTTAGGGTATAAGAGATTAATATATCATTTGGAGGAAGATTGGATTTCAAACAGAAACAATCAGGGAACGTATATCAAATACAATAAGATATATGAATCACTGAGACACATTTTATGTAAATTGGTGAAAATCTCATACATACAGATTGCGGACCACGCTAATATGAGCAGTATAGCCGAGGTCCTAGAGATTCAGAGTGTCGCGTTGCTTACAGTTCGCTTTTGTAGCATATATCCATATTAATGTAACCATATTTCATTATCTCATTCATATGGAAATCTCTAACAATTAGTCAAAATTCTGCTCTTGTTTAATTAAATTTCCCGCACAAAAAAAAATAATATAGAAAAGGTAGAAATAAATTTTAAAACAAAAGGTATCAAAACTTAAAGGTACGAAATGCAATCAACGAAACGAAATAAACAATGATTTATTGTACTTGTGTTTTGTTTTCGACGGATTCGATAGTGCGAACAAACGGCAAAAGTCGATAGATTATAAAATGCGATTGGGGTTTTGTCGAGCCGTAAATTGAACTAAACTGAAAATCCGAATGGACGCATTCGAACAAGAAGATTAGATAAGTGTAATTACTGATTTATTAGAGCGGGCGCGAAACTGAGGAGGGTGTGACATCCTATTTAAATACTGAAAACTAATCCGATTTACGACTCGCACAGTAGTGGAGAATAAAATATATTTAATAAAAAAAAATCTGCTTATCAACTTCTCTCTCCCTATGTTGTTATAATAAAGAACGGCCTTATCGAAAAACCGACATCAATTTAAATTGTCCTTGTAATTTTCATATTTGTCCCATAAAAAAAGACTATCTGAACCGCAGAAAAAGTATTTGATTCGACGCTTCTTCATATAGAACGTTTCCGTAATTTTGAGAATTAAAAAAATAGTTATTGTTGATGAAATATGCTCCCCCACTTGCATAGATTTGTCATAGTTTCGTTACTCTAAACGCGATTCCCATGTCAGTGTTAAGCAGACAACATTATTATCGCTTTTCTATGTGGTCTGTCAATGCGAGGGACAATATTCTCCCATGTAATCTACTGTCACGGTTCCGTATTCAAACTGGCCGCGCTTACGTAGCATGAAAAATCAATTACGATTGGCTCACAGCGCTTGGGTTAAATTGAAACCCCGCCGCCCGATTGGTTCCGCTACGGCACGTGACCGTTATTTGTTCCCATCCCTTGTTATCACATTAATTACAGATCATTTGATTCGTATTCCTATTGTTTGATTTATATTAAGTTATAAGTGTTGCCGGATGCGTACATACAGCTCCGGATTTATTTCCTTGACTATTAAATATATGCTCGAATGAAATATCCAATGTGTTCTATGTACATAAATGGTTATTATTACAAATTAAACAAATTGCAAAGATAAAAACGTTTTGAATATATAAAAATAGCGTTTCAAATAATTTTATTCAGTTATCAAACGAACATTTTATATACATCGAGTTGCTGAGTTCCTTGTTCAAATAGAAATTTATCATGGCCATGCTCCTCAATTATTTTATTTTTTCATTATTTTAAATTATTTTTTAAGATATTGTTTTCAGAATTTAAATATGAATAAGGCCTGCGGTCAATGGTTTTTAACATATTTTTTACCAATTCTTGGTAAAAAAAATAACAAACATTATATGGAAAGAACGTGACTTCGTAAAAGGCCTCAAGGATAAATAGAAAAAAAGTATATATAAGCAACATTTGATGGAAATCATTCAGTGAGAAATCAACATTCAATTTTTGAAGAATTAATTCTTAATAGAAATGGCCATGATGGACCCAGAGTTGTATTCCCAATACCATGGTATGCAAAGAGACGTTGTCAAGTTTTTCCTAAAGAATTATCTAAATACGACAAAGTGGAAGAGTAATGATACTGTATTGGACATTGGATGTGGATCAGGAGAAGCCACCATGGAACAATTGGCACCATCTCTACCCCAAGACTTCAAAAAACTGGTAGGATTAGATATCTGTCCGGATATTGTAAACGTAGCCAAACGTCAAAACAAAAACCCAAAAATTGACTTCATCGTATGCGACATATCATCAAAAGATATCAACAAATACGTGCATGAAAAATTCGATCACATATTCTCCTTCACATGCTTACAATGGGTTCAGAACCAACGGCAAGCTATGCATAATATCTATAACCTGCTAAAACCAGGTGGCGATATCCAGTTCATGTTCGTTGAGAGATCTCCTATTTACGATATTTATGAATCGATGGCGTCCAACCCGAAATGGAGCAGATTCATGGAGGACGCAAATTTGTACATATCGCCGTATCACCATTGCGAGGATCCAGTAACTATTTACAAAAATATTCTCGTCGAAGAAGGTTTTACGGTGAACGAGTGTATTGTGGTGGAAATCGAGGGATTGTTACCAAGTTTGTCTGAACTGAAAAAGAGTTTACTCGCTGTAAATCCATTCTTCAAGAGAATACCAGAAAGCATGCGAAATGATTACGTAAATGATTACATTAAAGAATTGTACAATTTTAAATGTATTGAATGTTTAGAGAATCAAGAAATGTTATATAAATTTCCTCATAGCTCTTTTATAGTCTCTGCTAGTAAATTATGATGTAATTTATAGCAAAAAAATAATAAATTAAAATTAATTATGCAAATTATTGAATAATATTTATTATTGTTATAATTATTTTGTTTTTACTTTATTTTAAATTGTTTTTTTCCAGAATTTACAAATTAATTACTTCGAGCTCTTACTTAAATAATAAATATTTTATTTTTCTACGGATTAGTTTAGAAATTATAATTGATCAAGAGTTTTATTGATGTAGATTTCAAATATATATTCGGAATAAAAAAGTTTATACAAAATATTTTATTATTTAAATTTTGAAAAGATTTATACCCAGAATTTCAGTATTTATAAAAGATGAAGATGAATATTAACAATTTTTATATAATTTTCTTTAAATAAACTTTATACATACATTTTTTTTTCAATTGTTTTGCTTCATACTTTAAGATTAGAATTACGTTTGTTACTCGACCAAAAAAAAATCTACAAAAACGTTACAACATGCCTAATTATATATGATATAAAGAAATTAAAATGATTAAATGACTATGAATTCAAATAAGAAAGTCTAAACGAATGTGCCAAAAATGTAGGTCACTCTTCGCAAAATTTCAACATACACTTACCATCAAATCAAATTAGAATCGGTCAGACTACAAGATTTAATTTTTAATTTAAAATAAAATAAATGTTAAAATAGAAATCAATTATAGTTTAATGAAACAAAAAACATTAAATAGAACTGTAAATAAAAAAATGTAAATAAATCATAATAATCAATTTCTAAAAAATACAGCGGAATATTCCGGATGTTTGTTAAAAAATAATATTTTGTGCAATGCTGGTATGTTGTAACTAACAGTTTTTTTCCCTTTCTTAAATTTATAAAATCAAAAAAAGAATAATCAATTCTAAGAAGAAACCATGTGTAGGAAAAACCACAAAAATACCACCGAATCAGAAATATTCCCAATTTTGATAAGATATGTTTATGAAAAACAGATTATTTTGTGCAATTCTGGAATAATGTAACAGTTTTTTCGCTTACTTAAATTTATAAAACGAATAAAAATTGAAATTGGAAGTATGATAAAATAAGAATACGTTGGCGGAAAGACATACGTCAATATATAAGACATTCACGATAAATGTCGAAAAATTCTGAATTAACGATAAATCGATATTTGAAATATAATTATTTAATCGTATTCTCCATTATCAAACTTGCGTTGAATTTCATATACCACTACTATTTCTACTACACAGCACAGATGAGATTACGATTGTGTCGCTTTGATAATTATGCAATTGTTTTTAATAACGTTGTTTAAAATTGTTATCATCTAAGAGAAGTTCAGCTAAGTTCATGAGATCATGTTTATTTATTTCAGATATCTTGTAAAGGTTAACAAAGATCGGTTATTGGCTTTCAACTGTTTATTATGAATAAAGATTATTAATAATAAACAATTTTGTTTATTGAATACTATCATGCAAAATTTTATCATCATATTAATTTTGTTTTTTATTCTAAATGCAAATACAGTGGAACCTCCCATAACGAGCATTTCGCTTAACGAGGAAAATGAATTGTAAGAAAAATGACTCGCTTAATTAGCGACGTTTCGCATAACGAGTGACGATTTATTTTTTGACATAATATGGCACAAAATATATTGTCTGACCTCCGAGTTAAATAATAAATGTTCAATTGACGTGTTGTTTTAATTACGTAAATGCAATACAAGTGAAATTATAATATAATGTAATATTTACATTTAGTCCGGCTGTAAAAATATTTGGTCGTTAGCCATTTGGTGTGACCAATATGTTAAATAAATAATTACATTATACATTAGAATTATTATTTAATAATAAAAAAATTTATTGCATTAGTCGTACAAAAAAAACATATACAGAATAATTTATTTAATAATATCAAGTAATATTTTAGTTTCTTATTCATTCAATTCAGTAAATCAAATTGAACTATACAAATAAAATTGTTGTCGATGCAACATTTTCTTTCAATGGAACAGATGGCTAACATGAATTTTCTTTTGGAAATGTCCATAAAATGACTAAAGTGGAACAGTGTCGTACCTTATAAACTGGTTTAGGTAATGTAACCATATATACATTACGATTGTTCTAATAAATTGAAATATAAAAGCAGCGTTTAATGTAAAAACTACCAGTCTAAACTTATCCGTTTGCAATCACATATTGATCAAGTGAAACAAACCCTAACAATCAATATGAACAATCCTGCATTATATTCCAAACATAACGTTATGCAACGGTTTCACAATAATATCGTCCTAAAAAACTACATAAATTCAATAAAGTGGAATTGCTGTGATGTAGTATTAGACGTTGGATCTGCTACAGGAGAAGTCACCACGGAATTATTAGCACCATCGCTTCCGCAAGTCTTTAAAAAAATTGTTGGACTTGACGTCAGTCCAGAAATGGTAAAACTAGCAAAAAGTCGAAACCAAAACCCGAAAATTGATTTCGATGTATGCGATATAATGTGCAAAGATATCAGCAATTACATTTATGAAAAATTCGATCACATATTTTCTTTCTACTGCTTTCATTGGATTCTAGATCAAAGGCAAGCTATAAAAAATATATTCGATTTACTGAAATCCGGCGGAGATATTCTGTTAACGTTCGTTGCCACTTGCCCGATTTATAATATATATGAATTGATGGCGTCTAAACCATGGAGTTTTTTTGTCAAATACGGAGATGTACATATCGCCATATCACAATTGCAACGATTCTGATATTTTTAAGAAAATGTTGGAAGAGGAGGGTTTTATAGTAAAAGAGTGCCGAATTGTAGAAAATACACATATTTTTTCGAATTTGTCTGACCTGAAAAACACTTTACTTGCAATTAATCCATGTATTAATAAAATACCTGAACATTTGCGAAATGATTACATAAATGATTATGAGAAGAAAATGTATAATTTTAGACTCGTCGAATGCTTAAATAATAATGAATTTGTTTTCAAATTACCTCACACTATGTTCATAGTAATAGCTGTGAAACCTTGACATTATTTAATGTACATTAATGTGTACATTAAATTTAATAGTGTTGAAGAATAATTTCCTTAATTATAAACTTTGTATCAATTTCAAATGATGTTATTTATAATACTTATTCAATGATTGGTAATAAGAATTGAAACAAATAAAAAGTTTGTCGAGAAGAACAGAGAAGTTACAATCAAAGTTTGCTGTTCCATTTTATAAAGAAATTCCACTTAATCTAGAAATTGAGTTCAAAGATAAATTTTTATAAAAGAAATATTACTATTAAATTGCTTCAAACGTCTAAATACTTAAAAAATAACATTCAACTTACCTTGTGATGTTGTGAAGTCAAAGCTAGAAAAACCTAATATGTGTTATCTTGTCATTTTAGTCGTAATGAAATTGGGTATTCGAAATCAAATGTTTAATAGTATGTTTTTAATATATATTTTATTTTGTATACAACTATATTAATTATTTATTAACATTATATTTTAATTATGGTGGTTGTCATTTTATTTTAAAATTAACATTGTTTAAAGCTAATATATTTATTTATATTTTAATAAGTAATAAATAATAATCACTACTTTACATACTTTTGTTTTCTTAAAAATAATCTACCTTATCATTTCTCAATCCTCTGATCAACCCAAATCATTATGATTATGGGAGTGATACGTTTATTATTACTTATGTTTCACTGAATAGATTTTATTTTATTACATATTTTAAACATGAGAATAAAAATTAACTGTACAATATTTATATGAAATATTCCAATTAATTACTAATATCGTAGTAATCATTAGATATCATGTTATTAATAATATTAATTAAAAGAGCGTTGATATACTTTAATTGTAGTAAAACTGGGTCATTATTATGTTTGATTTCATTTCAGTATATATTTCGTCACCTTTTGATGCATCGCTTATCGGTGCGAAATAAAAAGTTGCATTAAAATATTTACAACCGAATTTCGGATAGGAATGGATGGGCGAATATTGCGGAATGCAAGTCGCTTATCATGGCATTCGCGGACCATTAATTCCGGAATCAAGTTACCCGAGACTCAGACATTATAAAACTGGTGCTTCATTTCACCTCCTATTGTTTAAGAGAGGGTTAAATAATTGAATTCGATGTCGCCCCCCCTCGATCCGCTGCGTGGACCTAACGAGCTTGTAATATGAATAAAAATAGAGGGCACGTACATTTAGATACTTTATTTCGCTATAAATAATATTGCACATTGTATGACATAAACAGAAAATATACAGTTATTTACAGAATATTTACATATAACACTTAATACATTTAGATATTTATATTTATAATACTTTTTTTTATATATATTTATATTTGTTTCGAACATTATATCTGACTACGATAATTGCAAGTTTCCATTGTGACTAGTGGGTAAGAAGTGTGAAGAGGGAGTGAATTATTTCCCAAAGGGTAAAAAAACTTTCTTCTTGTTTTCGGGTTCGTCGCCGTCGTTGTCCTTATCCTGGTGTGCGGTCATGTGTCTGGTCAGATGATGCCGTTCGCGGAAGCTTTCCGCACAGACCGGACACTTGAGCTTCTCCTCTCGTTTCCGTTTACTGTAATCCGCGGTGTCGTTCTTGTGATGCGAACGCATATGATAGACCAAATCGGAAGTCATCCGGAACGAGATGTTGCATTTGGCGCAAACGTTTTGTGCGGGAAGCGATAGGGCGGCTAATGAAGGGGGAAGTAACGAGGATAAAATCGCGGCAGCAGGGTTACGGATCTCCGGGGTGAATTTCATTTCGGGCTGAGATATCTTTAGCATTTCCTGCTGCTGGAATTGGGTGTAATTGTAAGTGGAAAGATCGGGGCGGTATTGCGTTAGCATCGGGCGGAGTTTGGAGAAGTTTGGTTGCATCAATTCTGCGGCATTTGGGGACTTCAGGATGAACGGAGATTCCAATTGGGAATGACCGGTGAAGTTCTCGTGGATGAAATTGTTTTGATATGCTGGGACATTCTGGGCTTTGAAGAGCTGATTCGGGGAAAGCATGGATTGATGGAAGTTTTGGTAATTACGATTAATTATGGGTGGGGACGGACTTAAAGAGTTTTGGTAGCTGAGATCAGGACTGATTGAGAGGTTCGGGGAAAGCCTTGACTCCTTCGACGCGAGACTTACTTTTGTGAAGGCGCTCTTCTGCTCCGGTGAGGATGAATTCAGTGTCACCTTTGCGCGGTATTCGTTTTCGAGCTGCTTCGGTTTACCCAGATGCGGATCACCGAAGATTTGTTGCTTCTGTGTGAAATATTTTGTGTTTTGTAACTTGCTGAAGTCAATTTTCGGCGTGTCCACCTCGATCTCTTCGTCCTCGTCGGAGTTGGTTTGCACTGGAGAGTTATTATTTTCGTTCCGGCTGCTGATTTCCACTTCGTAGTTCGACGTGAATTTTTGAAGTTTATTCTGCTTCTGCTTGAGCTTCTCATCGGGAAGCATGAGGAAGGCGACATCGAAGGATCTCTTGGTCTTCACCGGCACCTCGGTTTGTTCCTCACTTTTCATTAAAAACACATCAGCTTTAATTTCTGTTTTTCCGTTGTTTATGTCCATTGTCATCTTCGTTTATGCACGCACCGCACTCTTGGGTTTTACACTTGTTTCAGGGGATGAGATATTGTATATGTGTATATATATTTTCGCGAGTTTCAGTGCGGAGAGGAGGCTTGGAACAATGTGCTCTCTGCGAAGGCGAAATGCATAATGTGGAAAAACATACTTGCTACGTCTAAATATTGTTAGATTTAACAGCGTACCCTCCACTGCAGCTGGCCACGAGGAAATCCACCCCACTTATTAGAGAAGGACGAGGGATGCGCGCAGCCCTGTGACCGATAGAGCGCAACGTATGATTCCGACAGCATGGATTTTACTACAGAATAGACTGTATCCACTCAAACCACCCTATAGGGGAAAACTTAAGTTCAGGGGTAGTTTCAGACCAATAGAGTTTTAGCACTGGGCGGAGTTTGCAAATACGGAGATCCAATACGGTTTTCAATGTACCTGCGCTTAGACTCTGCTCGTTTTCTCTTTTCCACACGCGCTTTTACCTCCACCGGATACACCATATTCCAATATATTACACATTTTCTTCGCTCTTCCTGCATTTATCATTTATCCTTACTTTTCTTTATTTTTATTAATTTTATTCAAATACATCTTCTCCATTCATATCATAAATTATTTATTTCCAATGAAAAATATTTATTATATAATAAAATTCTAGTAATACTCCTTTTTTTTGTCAATATTACAAATAAAAATAATATATCAGTAAAATATTGATTATTATGAAGTAATAATTTAGAATTATTACTATACAAAAATTGATACTACTAAATTTTAATAATTTTCACTTAATCAATAGAAAAATAAATATTTCAAAATTATAATTACAATTATTTTTGCTACTTTTAACACTATTATTAAGACACGTTCAATTCAGATTTAAATAATTATAAATACAATATCTACATATGACTAAATGTCAAAATGATGTTCAAAATTTTATTAAACTTAATGTAAACAAAACATAGTTTGAATTAATTCTGATTTTGGATACCGCAAAAAATTAAATACAAATTCCATTTTCCTATTTTTTATCTATAATAAATTATAAGTACAAAAATATCTAACAAAATATACATATCATAATATATGATATATTTAAATTATCTATATTTCATATTATTTGACTATATATGCAACTTTATATGAAATAAATTGGTAATTATAAATAAATATTGTATAGTGGAGTGAAATATCAATCGGATACTTTGTAACAATTTTGTACATTTTTTAAATTTATATACATACGTACATATAATATTCTCAATAAAAAAATGTTCTGAACGAAATGTTTGTTTGAAAGAGATCGACTTCTTACTAGTAAATCATTGTTTATAAAATACTAATACAGGAATTACTGAATATATTTTAGTTTTTTTTAATAATACACAGCTAAATTAACATATTTTATTAATAAATAGTTATAATAAGATTCTTCAAACTAGTAAATTAAATAAATTAATAAAAATAATAATATTTATTGCAACAATAAATCACCAAAACATAAACTCAATAATACAATAACAAAAATGAAATTAAATTAAAGTGATGAAAGAGTTATTGAAATTATTTTTATAGATTATTCTAACAGGAAATATAATTATTTATTATTTCATGTAGTTTAAAAATTAATAAAAACAACAATAAAAAAGTTTAGTTAAAATACACAATTGTTTATACTGTAAATAAATTTTGTAGGTACTAATTTAAAAATGTATTCAAATATTTATAATGAATCTATTCATTAAAGAATTGTAACAAAGAAAAAAAGAAAAAAAAAAAAGAAAAGAGGATCATATAAAATTAAAAGCTTTTTCCACTTTCAGTTAAAAATGGATCGTTGAAACAAAGCTGTGGAAAAAGCGATAATCACTGCTGTTGAATGAATTTTCTCGCTTGAGTAACTTATGGTGTGAGTTAGCTGGCATATACACATGGAAACATTAATCATTTTTAATAATGGATTAATAATTTGCTTGTCTTATATAAAAAAAAACACACACAGACAGAGATGAAGAATAATATGAAGCGCAGATACATCCATATAGGCACACTCATCCACATCCATCCCGTTCATCCCCCGGATCGAAAATAGAATTACGAAAAGCGATTTCCTAATGAAGCGAAAACGCGTTTTAAAGTGTCTTTCAAAAAATATTTCATCCTCCATTAGACACCGGCTAAATCTAAGATTAGCGAACTATTTGGTTGGTTGGAAAAGTGGAAATAGTAATCGTATTACAAACATAAACATCATCGCATCGGTCTTTTGTAATGCTTTCATGATTACCAGACGTATGCGATGGGCCAAATAAGGGTGCGCTTGGGGTACCAGAGGCACCTGTATTGTGGTTTATGCACATATGGTGAAAAGCTGTTTAATGCTGGACCCCCATAGGGAAATACGGCTGATTTTGCCATATTGCAAAGTGCTTCGAACTATTCAAAAGCCCTGTCTGCCTATATACAAATCATATTAACGTACATGGGCTCACGTTCGGAATTAATTCCTCGTTATAAACTTAATTACATATAATCCTTTTTATTAATAGAAAATATGGATTATTTTAACAAAAGTAGTAGTTATAAATCGAACAATATACAGGAAAGTGAAATAATTTTTAATAAATCGTATTTTTTTTTTCATAAATTCAAAAATACTAATGAATCAAAAATATGTATGTATTATTTCTGAAAACTATAAAAACATTAAAAATGTCTTGAATAATTTATTAAAAAAAACGCATTTTCTAATAAATTTGTTCATCAATATTTCGTGATGAGGATTCGTGATTATTATAAATAATTTTCATATTTAATATCAATATTGTTTATTTCCTTTATGTTTAGCCAGAATTAAAGCTTATTGCTATTGTATTTGTATTATAATAGAAAAAATCGTAAAAAAATGACTAAATAACAAAATTGTATATAAATTGGAATTTACTAATATATTATTAAAATCTTATTAATTACAAATAAAAATGATTTTTAATAAATTCAATGAAAGCCTAAATTGTTTTTACATTTATTGATTATATTATTTAAAAAATCTGATTAAATATGAAGTATTTTGTGAAATATGAATTTAGCAATGTGAAATATGTTACTATCGTATGTGGATAGTAAAAACACGGCATATGTTGCTACGATGCATATTAAATATGTTTTTGAATGGTTTCGTAAATTGGGGATGAGTCAAGGAGTGGAGTGTATCGCGTAACCAAATCCAGCTTGTTTTGCCGCTGGTGTGCAGAAAGTTTTAGGGGTTGGTCGTTAATGCATTGAGGTTCATTCATTGAATGCTGCCCCATATAAATAGGGTGTGACAAGTCTCCTGAGTAATGCTTTATACCCGAATACAATCCCAATAAACACTCCATCTAGGAACTATATAATACATTTATTTTATAAACAATTATAGTTGCAACTTACAAAAAAAAAACAATTTTAGTTATTGTTAGACGCTTGAGAAATATTTATATCTTATATTCTACTTTCATTCTATTAATTATTCTTCCACTCTTGTAGCATTTATACTTATTATGAAGTTGATTTGGAGTTGATACACCTGCCATATATTTATGTCTCATTTTCTTCATATGTATTTTTGTTTAGTTTGTTATTTCCAAATATATAACGAAGTCCGGAACTTTCGTATCGTCCTTGAGATAATTATTGCAGGCAAGTCGAAAGATCTATAAACAAAAAAATGAGAGCTTCAGAGCAGAAGTTGGAAAGTATGAAAAAGCATTGGGAATAGTCTGGGCCCATACATACGAAGTGGAAAGATGGCGCCCGATTTGCATAGAGCGTCGTTTTATGCTAATGCTCTTGATTTATCGTTATTTTTATTTGATTCTCGAAATTATTATATGGACTGTATCCGTATGGATGGAAATCATATTTTATGTGCTGAGAAGAAGCTTTCGGCGGCCGGAATCGATTCCAGAGTGAGAATTATTCTTGCGGTTCAAGTTTTACGACGGTTTTATGTGTTTGCCTGTATTCCGAGACTATTTTTCTTCTTATTTTTATTAAAATTTCAAAAAGGGCGAGAAGTGGAGAGAGGGTGCTACAGAGTGCGGTGTCAGAGCAGTCAGTCTGTGCACTTGCTAAAAAATCTTTTGGTTTGTACAGTCAATTTAAACCCTCCAGTTTCTGTTTTTTTTTCGGTCCGAGGATATCAAAGGACAAAGCACCCTAAACTCTAATCCCAGTGAATAGTTTTCAATATGAATCGTATAACCTGCACATATGTTCACTTACACCCCTGGAAGGTAATTTTGGTAGCAGTTGTTTGGTTGCTGGTGTATTGTAGACTCGAAGCTTTCTTCCGATCGCGTTTATATCATTGCCACGAGGATGAGGGATCGCTAATACACTCGAGTATTTATTCATTTCATTCATGGGTTTAAGGGTAGTTTTCTGGCTTCGCTTAAGGTTTGGGGTTCGAGCCGTGCCATATGTTGGTCCACGCCACTAGCGAACAGATGGGACTTGTACGCCAAAAAGTCATTAGCCAATATTGTGCACCGCCTCGACAAGTGGCCTAAAATCCATTTAAATATAGGATCGATATTGATGGTACAGTCGAAATTCCTTGAGAAATCGCACAAAGTGAGTAAATAAATAAGTTACAGTCCTGATGGTTGTCCTGGAGCAGTGATTGATGCCAGGTCAGAAGCAGAGGTCACATGTGCTTATAATTGCCTCGATACACACGGGACCTGAAGAACAAATCTACTTCTTTCACTTCTATATTTGCTGGAAAAAGTAATTTGGGGAAAGAATGTCGCACGGGCTGAGAATTCTGGGACAATAGATTATCATCGGGCAAGGACAAGTAATCGCGTGTATCGGAATATTGAACTATATAGATTGTGTGAAAATGTAAATCTCTGCATAAATATAGCACCATCAGCATGCAGTATGGAAATGGGTACACGACGAAGAGACACAGGACTGGATTGTAATAACAGTAATCCATATGATGAGGACGCGCAAGGTGCAGGAGGGCCAAACAGGGTAGGAGAGGATTCGCACAGGCAGCCAGAGGAGGACAGCAGCTTTGGCCCCGTTTGATCCTCATTGAATAATCCCGTTTACCGCATTGTACACACAAAGCGGATCAAATAGCTCTGATTAATGGCTACCCAATATGACGTCATGCTAATTTAAATTTATCTTTGCTACGTTTCATCGCCCTACAAAAACAGTTAT